TTCTAGTATTATAAAATACATATTAAAATATAACACATATAATATAAAAATATGTATTTATTAATAATTTATATTAATTAAAATATAATATAATAAAAAATCAAAAAAATCAATAACATATATTAATTAAAATTTCTTTAAATAATAATAAGACAAAATATAATAATAATAATAAAAAGACAAAAAAAACTAAAAAAAAATGATGATTGAAGTAGTAATGGGTAAGGGTGTCGTTAGCTTCTCTCTTCTTTAATTATTGTTCTCATTTGAACTCATGTATATATATGGTTGGATTCACGTGACACCAACCTGTTTTCGTGAGACCATATGTTTACATTTGAAAACTTCATAGTAAAACACTGTGAAAGTAAAAAAAAAATCTGAACCTTCACAGTGTTTTACTGTAAAGTTTGAAGTATAAAAAAATGGTCTAACAAGTTTCACGAAATAAATTGGTCTCACATGATCCAAGTCTATGTATATATATATATATATATATATATATATGGAGAGAGAGAGAGAGAGAGAGAGTCGAAATATAACAAAATAAGCAATCTGAGATTTTATTCACAAGATATAGTAAGTACATGTACTTTCGGAAGACAAGTCTACAAACGAAAAGACATGAGAGAGTTTCGGAACAAGCAAACTAAAAGTATTCAGCCACTTTTTATTCTATATCATAAAGCTTAACGAAATTCATCCCCTTTGTTTTTTAAGAGATGTTGAAGTATAGTGTACTCAATTCCCCATGATACGAGGTGGGGGAGGCATTATGAATTCAGAAAGATTCGGTGTCTCACTTGCGTCCTCGAGGTTTTTCGCACGCACCCTTTTGATGAAATCCCAAGCATCCCTATCGACGCTTTCTTCATCGTTAATCATACTTAAAGACGACGTATTTGCATGATGATCATCACCCGGATGTAACAGATACGAAACGGGTTTCGACCTGTCGATAATTGGCTCTTGTAATCTAAGGTTTCTTGGGTATCGATGCATCGATGAAGTAGGGCTACGGGTGGTGGTTGGTTGTGGCTGTGGTGGTGCACCAGCTCCAGTTCTAAGGCTCATCTTGGCTATAGATATGTAAGATACTTTCACTATATTCGTCATCAGATTCATCGATTTCTCGCAAATGGATTTCGTGCTTCTACTTTTGCTGTTCATGCCAACTCTTGAGAACCAACAGATATATATATAATCTGTCTCTATATATATGTATATGTCTGTTTAGGAAGGCTGTGTGGAGGTTAGAAGCAACAAAGGGATCTTTCATGGAGGTTCTACTAAATCTGTTCATAAATATCGTGTAGCAAAGCGATCGAATCTTCTTTATAAAAGGGATATGAAAGGTAGAGGAATTTTGTTGCAATATTATCGATGATTGCTCCTTGTTCTACGTTGAAACCTTTCTCCAGATTCCCGACAAACCTTATTCGAAACGCAACTAATTATTGACTGCGGAGTTCTGTTGAGACTTGAAATCCGGTGCATTAATGCTGGTATGATTGCACCTGACTAATTAATAGCAAGTTTGAAGAAAAGATGGTTACTTGATTTGTTTTATCGTCATTGAAACTAGGGATGCTCAAAAACCCGATCAACCCAACCCAACCCAACCCAACCTAACGCGAAATAACCCAACCCGATGTCTAATCGAGTTGTAAAATTGTCAAACCGTAGGTATTGGGTTACTATTATTTGAACCCAACCCGATGAACCCGATATCCTTTTATTTCATGGATTTAATATGATTTTTCATAACATATTTTCAATCTATTCACATCTCTATATAACTCATTCGCATATATGTTCAAATAACTGTGAACATATATATGTAAATTGAGAAAATTAACTGAATGTAATATACGTAAAAAAATATGGATAAGTTGTATCAAATGGTTGATGATGAAAAGAAAACTATGAGTAGAGAACTAACATATTAAAGGTTAAAAGAATATTTTAATGTATCAAAGTATCAACCCGTACGGGTTAGGTTGCACTTTGGTTTGGGTTGGGTTAAGATTTTTCCAAACCGCAAGCATTGGGTTGGGTTGTTCAAATATATTCAACCCGATCAACCCAACCCATGAACACCCTAATTTAAACCATTGAGTTAATTAGAAACTAATGTGGGAAGTTAACTTTCATCGACAGAATTTTCCGTCACTGATTCAGCCGACGGATTTTTCTGTCGGTGAAACACGAGTGTTTTGTAGTATATATGAAGCTATGCAAGCTGGATACATATTCTTCATTTTATGCTTAGAGATTGTGTACCATTCACTCTTATTGCTTGTGATTCCTTTAATCATAGTCATTCACATGTGAATTTTCATTGATTACCTTGTATATCTACTGCTGCTGCTGTTGTTGTTTTATAACTCTAGAATATCCTAATCATATAAACAACACCGAACCAAATAAACCCAATTTCTAAACATCATCGTACTGATCTGATAACTTTGAATTCAACTTAAAATCATGGTTCGAGTTATTAATAGCCAACGAATTTGAGCTTATAAAAAGCTTACAAAAATCCAATATTCTATTTACGTTGGATGGGTTGTTTACAAAGGTCAGATTTGTGTACGTCTCACTTTTAAACCCCTGAATAAGTGATATTGGGTCGTGTTTGAGCTATTTAATCTTGAGATAGATATGGCCAAGCATATTAAAGTTAAGTCGTGGAATAGTTGTGACACCTGGACCAACGTTGGTCGTAGGTATTAGTATCGTGTGAGAAAAAGAGTTAAGGTGATGAACGTAAGAAATGATTTGGACCCTTGATCACTTTTAATCTTACCCCTACCCATGAATTGCGCCTCTCATGGGAATTGATCTGGTGTATTTCCATTTTTCAAAACTATATTGTGGCACCCAAAAAAACAATATGATGGAACTCTTTGTTCGTGTAGTTTGTTAAAAATTGTTATTTTCGTCTCTATACTTTTGAAATTACGACTTTTAACCCTATGGTTTATAATATACAGTTGTTTTGTTCGTATAATTTACGATTTATCATTGTTTTCGTCTCTATAATTTACAATTCTTTGCTATTTTCATCCCCCATTCATAAAATTAGAAGTTGACCACACGGACAAAAACAGCAATCAATTGCAAATTTTAGGGCCAAAAAACATAATTTCAAAACCATATAAATGAAAGTCGCAATTTTTAACAAATTACAAGAAAAACATTATTTATTTATTTGTACTACCTTATAAATCAAATTTATCAAAAGTCTTAAAAACAACTTTTAATGCACAAAGTACCATACATTTATGCACAAAGTCTTAAAAGTCTTAAAATCAACTCATAATGCATTAAGTACTACTACTTTATGTATTCAGTCTTAAAATCTCTTAATCTACAATTAAAATAACATATAGTGCAAGTTACCAATGCGCATAATTACCTTTTCTTTTCATGTATCCAAGATACTTTTGACACATTTCACTCATGTCTTGACCTTCTCATACTTCTATGTCTTCTCTCCATCCCCCAAGGTGAGATTCAAATTGATATTCATCATAAGTTATTAAAAGTTCTCTCATTCATCTCCCGTTCAATTGCTCTAGAACTCTCGGTCTCGCTCTCGATCTCTTGATTATTTGCTCTTGGTGTAAATCAAACACAGTTGTGAAGTCGTTTAAATATGTTGGATTTTAAACATATTGGATTTTAAACTGTCATACATTTTTTTTTCGACAGACTGTAATTAAAACTATAACTCTTATTTATTCAAATTATATCAATATGTAAAGACCAAGTGCAACTTATATCATCGTTAAATCTTCTTTAATAAAACCAGTGAAACTTTAAAATCGTTAAAATTCACGGTTTCTAGTGCATTATGTGGATAGACAACTAGTTTATTTAGAAACGATCATATAAAAAACGAAATCGTAAGCGGCCTTTTTCTGCTGATTGGTGGAAAAGTGGATGATTGGCCATCAATTTAGGTAAATAAAAAAGACCACTTCTTTTAGGACTCGTCACTTTTAAACTTTGATTAGTAATTAGTAATTAGTAATTAGTAATTAGTAACATAAACACATCTTCTCTCTCTTCCTAACACATTTCTAGAGAGAGAAACAAGTGGATCTTGATCTTATTTTGCTCTTTGCTTTTCTTCACCCATTTCACCTCATATTGGGTTTCCCTTTTCTTTCTTGATTTCTTGCCTCGAAACACGACAATGCGGACGTCGAAAAGAACATTCCGGATGTTCGTTGAGGAAGAACTGGGCGGATTCCCGCATTTCTTGGTCGGGGCCGTGCTCGAATGGTTGCTAATCGCTTCACTTTTCATCGATGGCTTCCTCGCATTTCTCTCCAACAAATTCGCCATGATCTTTGAACTAGACCCACCGTGCGTCCTCTGCACACGAATCGATCAGTCTCTTGCAAGTACCAACTCGAGTTCCTACTACAATAACTCGATATGTGAATCCCACAAGAAAGACATATCGTCCTTGGCTTACTGTCACGTGCATAGAAAATTGGGTGATATCAGGAGCATGTGTGAGGTTTGTTTGCTCTCGTTTGCAATGGAGAAAGAATCGGAAGACGATACCAAGAAACCCGTTGAACCAAAAGACGTTGATGCCTCCAAAGACGGTGAACGCAAAATGACACTGAAACCCGTGAAAACGGGAAAAGAGAACGATAATGATAAGGTCATAGAGATGAGCAAGTGCTCGTGTTGTGGTGATCCTTTCAAGACGAGATATTCTTCAAAAGTGTTTGTTAGGACTCCTTCGACCATTCGTGCCTTAGCACCGAATATGTCTCCTAGAGCACCTTTTACGCCTGTAGGATGGAGACAAGATGACGGAAAGAATACAGATTTGTCGCACGTTAGATATACAGAGCTCAAGTTTATATCTGATAACGAACCATATATGCATGAGGATGACTATGGACTGAACACGGATTCCAAAAGTGAGTTATTCATCCTTAAATGTTTCTAATACGTAGAATGTGCGACTAGTGAGAATAACCCGACTAGCATCTAACCGAATCTCTAAACTTCAATGGTTATAAATTCAACTCTATTGCGAACAAATTGTGTTATATCTTCTTGGTTTATCATTGCATTCTCGACAAATTGATATACTGGACTCGTTTGGTTTCGTTTATTTATCTCAAAATGATGGCTTTCTTGATCCATGTAGATGTTAGAGAAGACATGAAATCTGCAACAGCACCATTGTTACAAGATCATGAAGAAGGGAACGAAGAATCTTGCAAAACCCCAAGTGGTGGAAAATTAAACAAGTTCTTTGGATTACCACTTGCAGATGCAATTGCAAACAGTCCGAGATTTGCCAAGAAAAAAATCCCCGATTTCGTTACTGATACAACCCCAGACGAACCAGCCGACGGCGATTCCGTTATCCATCACCTGAAAAGACAGCTTCGAGCGGACAAACGGCTGCTCATGACCTTATATCAAGAGCTTAACGAAGAACGTAATGCATCGGCCGTTGCAGCCAACCAATCGATGGCAATGATCACACGGTTACAGGCTGAAAAGGCGTCGATTGAAATGGAGGCTTTGCAGTATCAGAGAATGATGGAAGAACAAGCGGAGTATGATCAAGATGCGATTCAAGTTCTTAAAGATATGCTTGTGCAGAAGGAGAAGGATATTAAGTCTATGGAAGCGGAACTCGAGGCTTATAAAGAGAAATACGGTGAAATAAAGAAAGAAGAGATGGATGAATTCAGGAATAAAGATGACGGTGGTTACCAGGAGACGAGGCCGCGATCTTCATTGTTAGGTGGTGAGAAGTTGGAGATGGAGAGCCCAAGAAAACAGGAGGGTAGACGACTGATGGAAAGCAAATCGTCGATAGCTTTTGACAACGAAAGATGTCAGCTTTTCGATATGTTGAAGAACCTGGAATATCTAGTACAATTATCAGATGAAGATAAAGAGAAAGGTACAGTTTATATTCTTTTTCTCTATAAGTTGTTCTCAGTGTTCTATAATTCATCCCAAAATATAAAAAAAAGTTGCACATATTTTTCCAAATTCTATCCTTAATTATGAGATGGGGTATTCATAGACCTCTATTATGAAGAATAAAATTGCTATTTGGTTAATTAAAAAGTATAATAATTCAGCATTTGTTAAACGGTGTCTGAGTGTTTCTCTTACATTGTGGAAATATATTTTGAGATAGATGGAGTATTTTCCAATAATTTTCTAGAAGGAACAACAAATTTAGGGGCCGTTTACCCAAACAATTACCTAGTAAGCGCTTACCGGTAAGATTCGACACTATCACTTACCTTATCGGGTAATATTTTAGTCCATAAAGAGGGAACTGTATGGAACAACTTACCCTGTAAGTGTTAAAAGATATGAGTCATCACCATCACTTACTGGGTAAGACTCGTTTTTGCCATTGTTCTTAGCGGGTAAGATTCTCAGTTCTTCCCATGTTCATCTGATAAAGTAATGTGACTTGGTAAGCGCTTACTGAGTACGCGTTTGGTAAACGACCACTTAGTCTTTAGAAATGTAATTATTATTAGTAAAAATTGTAATTCTCTATTGTTTATGTAACCTAAAAATGATTGTATTTTACACTAAACTCAAATCTGTCCGACCCCTAATCAAGCATCAAAAGATCACTCGATTTGCTTTAACACTATAGAATGATGGTAAATTGGTGGTTTGTTCTTAAGTTTGTTGAGTACTTGTGAATTTAACAGACGAAGAGTATAAGGCGAACCTGGAAAGAGAGATGTCTCTAATGAAAGAGAAGCTGAGTGCAATTGAAGCAGACAGAATTGGATTCCTGAAGCAAGCTGCAACAGCACTCCAAAAGGGCGATGAACGAGCCGAGCTTCTTACAGAGATAGCTCAACATCTTAAAAAACTGAGAGCATAAACACAACCTAACCCTGAAGATATTACCATCAGTTGCCACCATTTACCAGCTTCACTCGAACCGCGTATCCAAACAGTAAACAGCCTGCAGGCAACTTAATAATGCTCCATGTGAAGAAGATAAAAGACACGAACCATTCTGGAGATTTTCCCCGCTGTTATCTTCTGGATGGGTCCCATTGGATTAATCAAGGTGCGTGCAAGCTGGCCAGAGCACTCACAGTTACCAAAAAAAATAGTTAGTAGCAGAGCTTAGAGTCGATCTGATCCTTAGCAGTTTCCTAGTAAAATGCTGGATTGGTGTCTGGGAAGAGAACCCCGAGATCTTCAAGAGCTCATAAGTCCTGTATGTATGTTCCCCAAATATCGACCATCTTGTTTCAGTTTCTGATAAAATGTAATAAAGGAAAGTTCTCGGTTTAAACTTATAGTCACTTGGATCCTAGGCTCTATATATATTGCCCATCTTCCTTACTAATGAAAATGGGCAATACAAATGGAGCCTAACATCCGGTGTTTTATAAAGAAGAATACATGAAATAGAGAACTTTAAACCAATAATCTCAAATGGAAAAAGAAAAAGGAACAAGGAACAAACAATCATTCATTTTGTCTTCAAATCGCATGAAATAGAAAGGGAAAACTATAACAACAGAAAAGATGCAAGGTCATATTATCAAACACCAATTTACAAGAAGTAATCTGGAGTTCTCCGTGCAGCGTCGGGCTCAACCTGGCGAGGAGCTGGGTCAAATTGTAAGAAATTTTGGTCCATTTTCTCTCCAATCTCAAGTATTGCAGCCATATTTCCACATCTATAGCAATAGTTTGGTGCACTAAATACGGTTACAACATTGTTCTCCTGCAAAAATATTATTAAGTTTCAGAAAGAAGCCAAATGCCAAACCTGTTTAGACTGATATTAGATGATTATAGGATGTTACAAAGGATTTTCGTTCTTTCAAATTTTCCTATTTAAAATAAAATAAGTTTCAAAATTTCCTATTTTTTACCCATTTTCACTAATAACCTATTGATCTTGTAACATTTGGTGACATGGATGTCATGTTTATCGCCCACTTTGCCGTATCCTGCTCATAAACATTTCGTAACGGGCATCCATGTCATCAAACTTTACAAGATCAGCATGTTACCGATCAAAATTAGTACAAAACAGAAAATTTTGAAACTTTGCTACATCGATTGAGGGAAAAAATCTTTGTTACACTAGATAGGAATTAAACCAAACTTGGCTGCATTTTGATGCATTTTGCCCTTAACATTACAAACCTGAGACCAATTGTAACCTTCCATGACCAGCTGATGAGCTCTAGAAATAAGAGTGAGTCCATTTGTATGGTTAAATTGTGCGGCTATATCCTGTCCAAAGGTGTACCCAGCTCCACGAGGAGAGATTCCCCAACCACACCGATCATCAGGATCAGACCACAGGAGGTCACACATTGGCCCCTCATGAGGAACCTAAGTATCAACAAAACAAGGAAAGAAACATTATAATAGAATACAAACCAAACGAAAAAAAAAAAAACCCAGGATATCCCACCTGAGGTGGAGTCTGGGGAAGGTAAAATGTAGGCAGACCCAACCTCTAACTCAGAGTAGCCCTGACCTCTACGTCCAACATTATAATAGAATCAACACTGCTAACCCCAGGGTGTCGATAGAAAACTCTTTTAATTAAGTTGTTCATTGCTACTTATGTTTCCTTCTTTATTTTAGATTTCACCCCCTTCTGTTCTGATTCGTTTTCTACCAGAATCCCATGTCAAATAAGCTTTTGCAAAGACAGAAGTTTTGCTCATAAGAAGGCAAACTTGAGTATCACTGGACATGTGTTAAGACTTTTTTTTACCGCAAAAGAGGACTATGAAGTATACAGACGGAGTTCAAAATAAACAGACGGCCATAGGTCGGTATGTCTTCCATGGAACAAGGTGCAGAAAATTGATTTTACTAATTTGATCAGTTTACACAGGCTGCTTTACATTTACATGTGAACCACTGGTATTCAGTGTTGTCTTCACTTCCTCTTTTGAGGCATCATTTGTAGCTTAAAACCTTGTCATACTAAGATCCCTTTTTGGTAACTTTTCCATGTAAACTGAAGACTGAAGTAGAAGAAACTAAATTTCTCAAGAACCAGGGAAGTTCTATGAATGATTCACAATTACAAATAATTAAAGATGAAAAACAAGTGAAACATTTTCGGTATTTGCTCTTTTGACATGAGAAAAATATACACCACACAAGGTAAAGGCTGTTTAAGATGATCATGGACACATGGCTAAAGAAAGATATGGAAATTGGCAGTTGGATCAATAACTCAAGAAGGTTCTAAACTAGATACCTCTTCAGCTCTCTATATTATGATACACTATTACACATAAAGTTCCTCATAGGAAAGTTAGCAGAGCTCAATTATGTACTGACCTCTTGTATGCGATCTAAAGCACGGATGTTATCTAGTGTATCCAAAGATGGGGACAAACCACCATGCAGACAGAAAACCTGCAATCACACCAATGCTTGTCAAAGAGCAAGAGAATATCAACAACAAAGTAAATGCAAGGATACTCCAAGCTAAAAATGAAAAGAAAGGTAGATCCAAACCTGACTTTCAATAAGGGCGGTGAGAGGTAGATAATCAAAAAGATCAGTAAAATGTTTCCATACATTTGCATTTCCATACTTCCTCAAGCACTCATCATAAAATCCATACCTGAAAGTAGACAAAGTTAGAGAAAACCACCTTCTATCACTTAAAAATAAGAACAGCATACACTGAACTTCTTCCTACTATTCTGAAAGTGCACATTTGCTGTAGGTAAATTTTATCACACACATCGAGAAGTCAGATAGAACTTCTGTAAGGATTGGGAACCAGAAAGTACACAAACATCAGTAAGTGTGCCAACTACAAAGCAGGATAATGAAAAAATTAGAGGTAACCCCAGAAAGAGCAAAAGACCAAACTGAAATTTAAAAAAAGGTTAAGACGTTTTAGGTTTACCATGCAACATTTACGTATTAGAAGAAAAAATAAGCAAAATCCAAGATACCAAATTTCTTTATCAATTTAGAAAGAGGCTCAAGAAGTATATAATCCCTCCGTCCCAAAATAAATGCAATGTTTGACTTGGCCACAATGTAATGATAATATTATGAATAATTAAATACCTAAAGTGCTCCTCAATAATGACAAATTTGAGAAAACCTAGGGACCAAAATCAATGTCACCATATTTTGTAATTGCCACTAGACAATTCAGTGAATTTAATTAGAATTGCATTTATGTTGGGCCAATAAAATGAAAAGTATTGCTTTTATTTTAGGATGGAGGTAGTACTTTGTGATGAAAATTGCAAAAACATAGGATGACCTGAAAAACAGGCCCTTCCATGAAGGGCAGACATTGCAATCAACTTGTAAGGGAGTTTAAAACTTTATATTGTGAGATTTGATGCTATAGTTGGAAGGGCCGGGAAAGAAGTACTTCAACATGAGGTCAAGATGAAGTAGCAACCAATTGCTGATGTTTCACAATGTGGCAGCTAGAACCTAAATAATAACTTACAATGACGATCCTTAAATGGTGTAAAACATAGAATGTATGACGAGGTTATGTAGGTGACCCACCACGAGTACAATCAACCCATGAGAAGATAGATCAAAATATTTCTACACATCAGCAAGTGACAAGTCACAAGTGTGAGGCATATTACCAGCCAAGACAATATTCCTGAAGCCACATGAAGCCATCTTTAGTGAAGGGTAGAAGCATCGCTGGCTAGCTGCTTCCTAGACTCCATACCGGAGAGGAAAATTTAATGTACGACAAATCTCATACTCTCAATTTACAGCAACATTAACCACAGCAAATTAGGGGTCTGAGTTTGACCTTGACCTTAAAATATCCAACATCTATGAGGCTATGACTTATTGTTTTTGGCAAATCCTTGCATGTTCAAAGACCCATGTAAGGCTGGGTACAGTAATCTGTATCAGTTATATCGTGTGTGGTTTATAAAATGTTCCTGATTGGGTTTCTGAAGCAAGTTTACTACTTTAGGGTTTCTGGACTTTGTGTCTTAACTATTCATCCTGGTTGATCTGGAATTAACAATTTTCAATGTCAGCTCGTGATTCTTACCACTCATGGTATCTATTACAAGAGGCAAGTGCTTAGGATGTGAATCACCAAAAAGCACAAAAATTATCGATCTGAACAACGGAATAAGGTAATAAATGAACTTTCCACTTATAAAGAAATTGAAAGGTTAAGAACCGAAGTCTCACACTTGAGTTATTTGCCGGCTCTCGTGGTTTCCTCTAAGAATCGTAATCCTATCTCTATAACGAACTTTTAATGCCACTAGAAGTGTGACAGTCTCCACCGAGTAGTAACCTCGATCTGCATGAATCAAATAATAACATACTCAACAACTAAGCAGATTCAACCACAAATCATCATTCAACATCAAGTTATACTGCATCAGACACAATAACCAAAGTTGATCTAATCAACAATATCTGCTCCAGAGAATGATATAAGTTTAAGCTCAACAGTATCTACTGCATTCAATACTAAAATGTACAGCACTAACCAACATAATCTCCCATAAACAAGTAATTCGTATCAGGAGCACTGCCACCGATCCGAAAGAGCTCGAGTAAGTCATGGAACTGTCCGTGTATATCGCCACACACAGTCACCGGACATTTGACAGGTTGTACGTTCCACTCTTCCACTAAAATAGCCCTAGCCTGATCACAGAGCGTCCTCACCTCCGCCTCCGGCAGCGGCTTACAATCCATCAAGTGCTCGATCTGACGGTCTAGATCCGACTGCAACGGCATTTTTACGAAATTTAATTGTTCAGATTCAAAGATCTGCAAGGAAGATTAGCATTTAGGTTATGTGGAGTCCACCAGAGTCGCCGGCGAATTTGCTCAAGGTTCGCTCATAATCCCCCGGCGGCGGGAGACTTTTTAGGTTTCTGGAGAGGGAGG